ATTGATCTTGAATTGATTGTGTCGTTGTCATTATGGTTATATATGTTCTTTTTTGTTGGTTTTTACGGGAATACATATGAACCAGAGAGATCTGAGTTTCTAAATGATAATCTTAAGTCAATTAGATTTTGTCAGTTTAGATGATTATTATTTACTAAACATATTATATTTGGAACTAGAGAAAATTATAAACTTACTATAAATTTGATATCCTTTTTTATACGGATCAACTTGGCTCAACTTTAAATCTTAGGCAATAAATTTTCATCTAAAATTTGATTCTTAAATGAAAAAGTTGATAAATTGGAAGAGATAAAAGCTTTGTATCACACATTTGTTTATACGTGAATTTGAGCAATTCAACTTACATAAAATGTACCACTTAAAAAACGCTCGAGTGAATAAAAGAGAGAAAATTACATTTTTTTTAAATAATATTTCACAACATTGTTAAAAAAATCAACCCCATCATCTTGGACATATTTGGCAACTTGCTATCCAAGTGTTATTAAATCATTTAATGACAATGACTAAAAATGAGAATTTATTAAATTATAGGAGATGCAATCTCAATTTAAAACAGTGAAAATTAAATCCCTACCTAAAAATACTATTCTTTTTTTTTTATTTTATTGACAAATTGAGGGGTAATAATTCAAATTTTGAGACTGAGATTCGAGAAGCTTCTTGCTCTCCTCGAGGGTATCCGATTAGCTCACTCCATTGGATGTTTGCGTTTAATTGTTGAATCCGACTGTCAAAATATTTAATAAAAAAAATTATAATTGTAAACATTTTGGTCATAATATTTAATAATAACTCGCTTTAATTTTTGGATCTACATTCTTACACTTATCTTTGAAGTGTTTTATTTATGATCAAGTACTAAACTAAAAAACATCATACGTGTATTTTTTTCATAAATAACTTTAAAATAATTTCAAATATTATAATTTTGAGAGAAGAGTGCTTTTGCATTCCAACCTTTTAAACTCTATAAATTTATTATATTCATAATTAATAATTAATAATTAATTTAATATTTATAATAATGTATTAATGGTATAGTTTGTATATTAGTAAATTTAACCAGGTACAAAAGTGTTCAAAGATGTTTTTCCTTCATTCTCTCTTCTTTCTAATACAGTACAGGTATATTTCTTCACTATTAATTTTTACAAATTTAATTTTAGTAACCTTGAGATATTTTTAAAAAAAATAATCATTAGTTAGATTTTCGATAAAAATCAAGATATCATGTGAACTTGAATTTTAAGCCACATTAATCAGGATAGAAAACTTTATTTTACAAAAAAAAAAGTGGATAGATTTAATTTTTGTCGAAAATTTTAGGTAGTTCAGTCCAAAAAAAAAATCAAATTTTGTTCCATTTATCTTCTATTTGAGAATTGAAGAATTTAGAAAAAAAAAACATGTTTTGCTGCTTTATAGTTTATATTAATATTTCCTTTTATCATTTTTTTAGTACATACAGGTGGGGAGATTTGAACGGACAACCAATTGGTTAGAGATAACTGTATATATAAAAGATGGGATGAGGAAAAACTTTTTAGGTCAATTTTGCCTTTCTTTCATAACTCATTTTTATAAAAGTTTGATGACAAATTTGTCACTTACCTCCCTTACTTTCTTCCTCCCTCTCGTTCGGACCCCCACTTCTCCCATTTATCACCACCTCTACAAATTCCTTTTCTTAAATTCATTTTCTCTATCTTAATTCTCTCATTATATTTCTGTCACATTTACTCTCCATTCATTTTTTCTCCACCCTCCAAATGCATTACTCAAATTAACCTATTCAAATAACCATCTATCTTTTATTATTATTTATTTAATTTATTTTTTATTCCTAGAATTTGGAGTGTTTTTCTCTCCCCTCTCTCCTTTCTATATAATTAACTCTATGTACCATTTTTGTCCTCTCATTATAACTTTTTTCACTTTTCTTTTGATGGCAATTGTGTCATTTAAATACGAACTTTCCCTCTCTCAATTTAACTCTTCTCTCCATCACGATCTCACCCCTCTAAATTCCCCTATTTTCTCTTACTAATTTTCTCTCTCTTAATTTCTCAATGACTTTTTTTTAACTCCTTTTCATCTACCACATACCCTCTCTCAATCCTTTCATCTTCCTAATCCCCGCCCAATCAATATATAAATGTGTCATCTCTTTCTCATGACAACAAAAACTCAATAGGTGGTGGATGGAACAAAGTGGAAAATTTTCCAAGTGGTGTGAAGGTATGGAGATTACTTTCTTGCTCTAGCAACGACAATGACAATGCACATATGGGTGATCGAGAGGAGAATTAATAGCGAAGAGAAACCAAATTAAAGCTGAATTACATTAAGGCAAGATTAATGGAAAGTTGATGGCATTAGTTCGCTTTCCCCAAATTTATCATTGTTCAGATTGGAAGAAATTCTAGAGTACTGTGTGTCGAGATGATGGTCGATGGAATCGAGATAAAGCAAAATTCGATCCTTATCATAATTGGATAATGGGAATGCTTATGAGTTTGATTTTTATTTATTTATTTTTTTAAAGTGATGCTTTTGATTTATGCATGTGAAATGTTGTAATTATTTTTACAAAGCCAAAGTTCTGTCACTCTTACCTTTCTCTTTCATTCTAGAATGAACAAACTCAATGATTTAGCGTCACAAAATTTAACAAAGTTAAAATGTAATATAATAATTTATAATCAAGAAAATTAGAGGGAAATTAAGAACGTTCATTCATTAAAAAAAAACTTGCACGTTGGTGCTTTTTCATCTTTCTTACACTTCAAATAATTTGTAGCCTGCTTTCCATGCTAATCTTTCATCTTCTTCTTTTATTACAACAATATCATACATTGAATTCATACTATATATAGTCACTTTTCTTTCTTTAAAGGATAATATTATAATTTTAAAAAATACTATTTGTTTTACTTTAATTTAGAACTACAAGATTCTACGTGCAAGGCATGTGTTTCTTACCCGTATTAAAAATAAGGAATTACCGATTGAATAATATCAAAATAAATAGAATTATCTCACAAATCAAAGAAAAATATATATATTATGCTTAATATCTTGAGTTATCCTTATCAATTTTAATTATTTTCCTTATGCCAGTTGTTTTGGCTTTGTTGAATTACTTTAGGCTTATACCTCTTTCAAAGTTTGACAACATATATAATTTCGAATTAGAAATAATTTTATTAGTCAAATACATTAATGATCTCTCCCGAAAATCATAAATTTAAATTTTGACTTTCTTGTTTGAATTATAATACTTTAAAAAATCTATATACAATAACCTGATCATTTTAGCACAACTCAACTCAACTAGTCAAGATATTAATATCTTTATAGATCATAAGTTTAAATTCCTACTCATGTGTGGATTGTAGTATTCTACCTACTTAAGCATAGTTCAAATAGCTAAGATAATCGACATTTATATATCGGTATTAGTAAGCGTCAAACTGACAAAATTAACAATACCATACACAAAATTGAAAGCAGTAGAGGAACTTATTAGCAATTTTTTTGAAGTAACGGACCATATAGACACAACCATAAAACTTCAAAGAGTTGTGTCAAAAACATTCTAAAGTACAAGAACTAAATTGACGCGGTTATAAATATGAAAAAAAATTTCATAAACACTTTCATGTACATATATTCATCGTTATCAATTTTAATTTTGTTCTATCCCAAGGGAGCACGAAGCCTTGTAGTATCGCCTGCTATGAGGTCTTGTATTCAAACATTTGGATGAACTTAATACAAAAAATTCTTGATGTTCTCTTAGGTCCAAGCTTTTGGACGGGTGTGCGTGTTTCTAATTATAGGGGTAAAAGGCTAAAGAGCTATCGATTTTGAGTTAAACAAAAAATATTAATTGTTCTTTATTTTAAGTAGTTTTCTTTGCCAAATTGCTTGAAGCCTATGCTTTTTGGAGTGCTTTTAACTATATATATAATTATCAACTAAGTCAAGACATTAATTAAATTATTTGAATTTCATGATTCTAATTCTCACTTTATTGTTTGAATCCTAATACTTAAAATTTTATATAAACTACCAATTATTTATTTATTTATTTTCAGATATAGGAGTGCTAGATCCTGAACTTTAGTATGTAACAATTTAACTGAATTTAGTATGTAACAATTTAGTACACAACGATTTAGCTCATGCCTTAATAAATTTTATTAAAATGAAGTACTGATTTTTATCTTGAAATCAAAGAGATGAAGATTATCCTTGAATGTCTCTTCAATGAGGTCGCATTATATTTTCTTTAACCTAATTAATCAGCCCCGGGAGAGAATGGTGATGGAGATGTAGTGTGGTCTTCTCCTGTTCATCAACTCAAACCTCATTCTTCTACGGTTGGTGTTACGGATCAGCCCCACTCTTTAGGCCAACAACTTTGCTCATCATCTTCTGTCGATTGTCAGCCTGTACAGTTGACCTCAAAGGATTTCAGTCACCCGGTACAACATCTTTCTTCTCGGCGGCGAAACCATTACGTTGCCCTTAAGTCTTTTTAATCTACGTTACTACATATATAAGAAACCTTATTAAATCTTAACAAAAATTTCAAAATATGGACCACATGGTTACAAATTGCAAACTCAATAAACTAAATTATTAAAAATATTAAATTTCAAGGATTAAATCGTTTTTTATTGGTTGAGGATACGTGCTCCTTATTCTCAAACTGGCATTTAGGGACTAAATCATTACTCTACCGAAAATACATGGACCAATAATATTTCTTCTAAACGTTAATTTATTTTCACACTAAGTCAAATGTTCGAATTCACGCCCACCTAACTACTTGTAATATATCATTCCAAAAACATAAAAAAATAATAATAATAAAAAAAAAGCTCCAAATATAATTTGACATTTGAACAAAAGGAAAGGGAAGGGCTTGACCATGTGTATTAAAGTCCACTGTACGGTCCCTTTGTAGATGTGGCAAAGGGTTATTTGCAGTAAAATTTAGTAGAGCCCTCTGCCCCTCTCTTCTCTCTCCCTCTCCTCCCCCGATCTCATCTCTCTCTCTCCCCTCCGGTCTCCGCCGCCGGTATCCGCCGCCGGAGCTACTTCTTCACTCTCCCCACACCCCATTCTCCGACCCCAATTCCCCTCAATTTCATCTCATTCCTCGATTCGATCTTCGCAGCCCCTTCTTCTCGATCGCTCTCTCCCTTTCCTCTCCTCCCACTTTTCCGGCGCCTCCTTGTTCTTCCCCGCCGAGGTTCGTGTTTCTTCGTCTGTTCGTTCAATGGGTTACTTCTGGGTAGTTTCTGGTTTTGGGCACTGCTGTTTTTTTCCCCTCTTTCTTAGCTTTTTCACTTCTGGGATTCGTTGGTGTGTTTAGGGTTTCTTGCTGCTAGTCCTGTGTGTCTTTTGGCTGGAGCTGAATTCTGCGCTTCGAATTGGGTATTTGCGTACTCGTTGAATTTTAACAGGAGAGGCGCTTTGGGGGTTGGGGTTTGTTCTGAAATTGTGCTTCCCGCTTGTTCTATTCTAATTCTAGTGTTTTGAGTTCAGATGAATTCCTCGGAGAATGATTTTAGCGTGGTCAATATATGATTGGGCTAATTCTTTTCAAAATTTTAAGCAATAGTTCCCGCTTAGTTAATGATTTTTAGAAATATTAATACGGCTCAAGTTTTCTTATGTGCGTGATTTGCTAATAAAGATGCAAAATTTTTGAATTGGGGGATACGCATGGTCGATGTTTTCATGTATCTTTAATTCGCTATTTTATCCTGGAATAGTTCTTGGAACTCGATTAATTTTCCATGTTCATTTAAATTTCACTTTCTCCTCTGGAATCATTATATGATGACACACCATAGAAGTAACCTTGTTACTTTTCGATGTATTTTCTGTTTTACGAGTATGTCTAATGGAGTCATGGATGTTTATGCTTTATTCCTTGGTTTGACTTGTACTAATTTAGGAAAGCCCGAAATGTGTTTACTTCATTTTCTTTTTAAGTTACGGCTTTTAGCCTTTTCTGTTTAGATTTTGCTGTTTTAATTTTAGTCTCTTGAAGGGATTGGTTAAACTAAAGTTCATGGCATTTTATCCACGAAAGAAATTTTTGTTTTGTCATTATTGGAAAAGATGGAGAAAGACTAAGTTTGTTGTCTTAGAATTGTAATCTCACTGCCCTTGGGTTTTTATGATTTCAGTTATAATGTTACATTGTTTCTCGGAAGATTGATACATGGAATCTGAAGACAAGAAATTCGGCCGAGGTAAATGTTGATATGGTCAATTTAGTCCCTTCTCTCTCTTGCACTGTCACGTTTAAGACTTAATAGTGAGACATAGCTCGGGTTAGTCTGTGCGTTATTTTAGGTGGTTGCGGCCAGCATGCAGTGAAATTGCTTATTGACGTTGTGTACAACATTGATGCTTTTGTTTTTAGAAATATTTTGAGGTTACAATATGATTTTAAATAATTTTTTTGACCTGAGAATGTACCTTTTCTGGGTGTAAACATGCCCTTGGATTTTCAATTTTATTTATTTATTTTTATTAGAACCAAAGGTTCTGAATTGAAGAAAAAGGGTTATACTTTTACTTCCTATGTTGACCTTGTCCCCATAAATTCAAATTCCTTGAGAGTTATTGATTTCAAACCGATAGGCCTCACAACAACTTCCGAAAGGTCCTTGTCAAAGTTCTCATTGATAGGTTGAAATAATTCCTCCCCGATATGATTTCTCACTCCCAATGGGTCTTTCGTAGCTGGAAGACAAATCTTAGATTCGGTTTTGACTACAAATGAAGCTATTGATGAGTGGAGAATAAGTAAAAGGAAAGGGGTAACTTTCAAAATTGACTTTGAAAAGATTTCCAACAAAGTTGATTAAGAAAAGACTTTGTGGATGATTGCAATGAAAGCAGTAGCATGGAGTATGTGACTAGGAAGCTTGGATTGTTCAACAAGAGGGAAAGGGAATAGAATGAGGTTCTTGATTTGGGAAATTTCCATTGCTCTTCGTAGTTTTCACTTCCAATTCCTTTGTTGTTATTCTCCCTTTGTTATTGACT